GGCCCCACCAATCCCATCAATTTATTGTTGTTTTAATGTATCAAGTTAGAACTATGTCAGAAATCGTAGTCTTCCTGAAACGGCTCAAAGAAGCCAGAAGCCTTGTGCAATGAAAAGACAGAAATTTTTAAGTCTTGAGGGGTGGGGGTGGGAAGGTATAGGGTGGGACGCGGGTCCTCGCTGGGGTCTCGCCGCTTGAACCAAAGCTCATGCCGGGTACCCAAACAAGCATTCCTGTTTGGCAGCGAAGCCCCCGCCCCCTGCCCAATGGGCTGCGATGTTCTGGCAGGATTCGAATCGCGAATGGCGGTGTGCACGGCCCAAATAAATCAGCCCAGGGACAGGCCGCGCCCTGGAGCCAGCCCCTCTCGGAGGGTGAGAAGGGCTGCTCAGGGAGGGGCGGCTCGCCCTGGAGGAGCCATTCTTTGGATCTAAATAGTCCGGAGAGAAAAGATTTCGTTTCCGATTAGGACAACCTCAAAGAAGAAACTGTGGAAAGGAAATAAAAATAGAATAGAAAGAAACCACGAAGAAAAAGAGCAATTTCTAAGAGTCAACCTGTCTTCGTGGGGACCTCTGTGGGTGCCTTTTCCTGCACTAGGGATTCTCCCTAGTTTGGGGTACACTGCTTCCTTCCACACACCCATTCTGCCGGTTTTCCGGAACCATCTGGGGCCCTCAGAGGAAGCTCTGAGAGCCGGGCCTGCAGGCCTTGGGGGTGACTTTGAAAAACTGTCGCATCCCGAGGTGTTGCCCCCAGGTCCAAATCAGCTACTTTGGGAAACTGCAAACTGGTCAAGCAACCTGGCTTTCTGTAAAAACCAACTCTATGGGTTAAATAGTTTTGTTATGTTTTCAAGTTAATTGACAGAAACGTTTTCCATCCATTTCCGCCTTTGGTCGAAAAACTAGTCTAAAAACAGTTCACAAGCTGTTCACAAACCCCGCAAATAAGAAAACAATTATTTCCCACTCACTTTTAGGCAATGTGGAAAAGGGATTGGGAATCCGGAAGGAACGCTGAGTCCAATTCTCAGTCCCTTACAACCCTTAAGTTGTAGAGTTTTCCCTGTCCGCAGTTCCTCTATGTTCCAGCATTGCCTGGGCGGGCCAGAACCCCTTTAAACGCTGCTGTGTTGCTACAGGAAAGGCAGGACCCTGGGGGTTAGTTATTGCCCTAGGAAATTCACACTGACACCCCGGTACTTGCAAAAATAAAGAAACATACACAACAGGGATCAAGTTGGGGGAGGGGTGGGGCTGGGTCTCCTGGGGGTATCAATCCTGGAGTCCATTCACAGCCTGGGCTCTAACTCAGCCAAAGGATTTGTTAACTGGTCTTCATTAGAAATCATGTTACTGAAATACGAATTTTTTAAAAATTGCTTTTAAGGGCAAACCAGAGGAACATTTCAAAACAGTTGGACTCTAAGGAAATCAAATGTGCACAATGTTGTGTAACTGCTTACAAATGAGCTTCTGAAGAACTTAGTCTACTTAATAATTTGGTAGGCACTCAAGTAAAAACCAAAACAAAGGCATTCTAAGCCTAGGTTAGAGTTAAATGTGTGGTGGACACCAGACTATCTCTTCTGGTAGTCGCGTTCGATCGAACTCAGGTTAAATTTTAAAGCCTCTGGATCCTGCCCCAGTGGCCAGCTGCAGCTCCAGAGTCTTTCCGAAAAGCAGTCACATTAAAATTGAGAAAAGTGCAGTGATTGTGGGAGGCAAAAAGAAATGTAATAAAAGTGACTAAATTGGATGAGAACGGTTTATGGATCACCTCAGTAGCAATTTAAAATTCAGAAGTGTTTAGGAGCAATTTACAACGAAGAATGAAAAAAAAAAAAAAGAATTAGCACCAACTTCCTCCATTCCACGCCCTCCTCCCCCGCTCTGCCAGACCCTGTTCTCTTCTCTCAAGAAATACAGGTTCACAACTCATAGTTATATAGAGAGGAAACACTTAGCAAGGAGGGCTGAAAAATCTCAAAACCAAGTTTTACCATGCCCCTACCTACCCCGGTTCAATGCTACCTAGGCTTCTCTCCATTTTCTCAACTGAAAAACACACACACACAAAAACAGAATCCGGACGCTTTCAGGGAGACTGACCTTTAGGAAATCATTTACTTTGATTTACCTGGAAAAAGTGTAAAAATCCATTCCCATAAAACAACTCCTCCTGCCCTAGTTAAAATTCTCTCTCCGCAGCCTTCTGGGGTCACGTCTGTCGGAAGAAATCCTTTTTGTGAGCGAAAGGGAGCTAGACATATATCACTGCTGTGCAGCGGACGAAATAGCGGGCGCTCAGCTCGCTGCTGACAGATCAGCGCTGATAACCCCGCGACGTTCATTTCCAGTCCTTTTGCTGGCTAAGGACCGTATCAGTTTGTACACAGTTGTGATAACTGTTTGGAGGGATCGACGTAGGGGGTGTGTGTGTGCGTGTGTGACATACAGAGAATGAGTGGGTGAGGGGTGGGGAAGGGGTATTTCGCGCAGGGTTCAGGGAAGGTGTTTCCCCACCCCCTTTTCCCAATGACTAATCTGAGACTTACCTGAAATTCTTCAGGGAAAGCTCTGAACAAACGGGACACCGAAACTCGGAGAGCGTCTTTGGGCGCGACAGGAGGGGAAGCATTTTTCCCATACTGCGCACCTCATGGATTAATCTTTAGGTACGCCACCACCCTGAGTTAAAAGCTTCCAAAGGTTAGTTGGGAAGTGCCATGTGAAATTCCCAAAAATTCCCAGGAATTTAGTATATTTTCTAAAAGCAGGGCAGAGCTAGAAAGCTGGGCATTAGCGTTCCTTCTTTCCCATATCACAGGCGCCTCGACTCCCGACGGCCACCACGACCTGAGCTCCTGGGTGTCTAGAAGAGGTCGGGGAAAGTTTAAGGTCGGTTACACAAAACTGCGGAGCAGAAAGCTCCTTAACGTGGAGGGAGGCGCGGGGCCGGCCAACAGAGCAAATCACTTTCCCCCCTTATTGTGGGGGCGCGTTGACCTAAGAGTCGGAGCGTCCCTGCCGCGGTGACGGCTACGCGGGGCTGTGCGCGCCCAGCAATCCTGGTGTCACCTTCCCCTCTACCCCCACCCGCCCCCTGAATGCGTGTGTAACTGGGGGCGGAGGAACGTGCTCCTCCGCGGGAAGGGTGTGGGTCGCTAGCCAGGTCAGGCGTTCCGCCACCTACGCCCCTCCCCCCGGCGTCCAGGGGCTCGGTGCCCGGTGGATGGACTCTCCCCCCCCACCCCCCAGGACAGTACTCGCAGCTCAGCCCACACCCTGGGGCGGCCGGCCGCGCATTGTCTGCCTGGGCGGCGCGCTCCCCTCCCCCCACCCCGCCCGCCGTCCCCTCCCCACCCTCTTTTCTCCCCTCCCCTCGCTCCCTCCTCCTTCTCCTCCTCTTCACCTCCAGCGCCCAGCTGCTCGCTGAGCGCAGTTCCGACCCACAGCCTGGCACCCTTCGGCGAGCGCTGTTTGTTTAGGGCTCGGTGAGTCCAATCAGGAGCGCTGACTGCAGTTTTCCGGCAGAGCAGTAAGAGGCGCCTCCTCTCTCCTTTTTATTCTCCAGCAGCGCCGCGCAGACCCCGGACTCGCGCTCGCCCGCCGGCGCCTTCGGCCTCTCCTCGCGCTCGGGAGCACTCGCCGCCGCCGCGGTTCTCCATGCGCTGCGCCCACCCGAGGTTCGGCTGTTTCCTCCCTTGCTTGTGCCCCCCTTTCCCTCCGCCAGCCTCCCCCCCTAAACTCGCAGGCCCCTCGGCCTCGTCTCTCCGGCCCTCTGAGGGCCGCGGTCGGTTCCGAGGGTGTCGCCCTTCTCCACTCGGGCAGGCTGTGGCGGCTACCAGGTTCCCGGGACACCGCGAGCCAACTTCTGGTATCCTTTGCTCTCCCCGAAGCGCTTATCTGCGCTCTGCCTTATCTCCGAGTTATCTCGGCGCAAAGGGGCGGGAGCCGGCAGTCAGGCGGGCAAAGAGACTTATTTCTTGCTATCTAGCCTGGGTCTGTGTGTGGGCATTAATTTTAGTATGGTTATCTCCTACGAGCAGAAGCGATTTGGAAAAGCAACCTGGGGGAGGCCAGCTCGGCTGCCTTTCGCCTCCCTTCCCCACCCCCTCTGAGTCTCCCTGTCATTCTTCCCTCTCCCCCTTTTGGGGTGGCTTTGGCTCTGGGGCGGTCTCCCCCCCGCCCCGTTGTATTTACCCCTCCTTTTCCCTGCGCTCCGCTCCACCCCGCTACGTCCGATTCCGGAACGATCTGGCCTTTCCACGCTGGGGCTGACCGCGGGGTGGGCCGGGGTGGCGGGGCGGGCGTGAGGGCACGCGCTAGTGGCTGCAGACGCGAGCCGTGTCCAAGGGGTGCCTCGGCGTCGAGACCGGGTTGGGTGAGACTCCCACGCCGTGGGCACCCGCACTGCCGCTGCCCGTGAGGTCCAGGACTGCGGTCGCCGCCCTGGAGCCCCACCTTCCCGGGCTGAGTTGCATTTCTCAGTGGGGCTCGGTCCCGAGTTGTCGCGTAGCTCGGGAAGCTCTGGGAGAGCCCGTATGGAAAAACTTGGCGGTTTCGTTTTCGGGGACAGGTTGGCTTCCTTGAGCTTCTGATTTTCACTAGGGCAACCCTTGCACTGGGGCACTACGGGCGAAGGGCACCCGCGCGGAGGTGGGATAAGGGAGCGCCGACACGCACTGCTAACTTAAAAAGTCCTTTTGTGTGGCATCTGCCGGGAGGGGAGTCATTTGGGGCGGAAGGAAAACCTCGGGGCAGCTCGCTGTCGCCCCTGGGATCCAGCGCGCGGGAGGAAGGATGCTGCGCAGGGGGTGGGCGGGGAGGGCTGTGGGGACCCGAGCGGCGAGGGAGAGGGAGGGCGGGAATCGCTGTCCTTGGCAGACCCTCTGGTCGCCCTGTAGACTCTTTCCTCTCCCGTTCCCCAGCCCCCGCGTCCAGGGCAAAACCCGGACCTCTGAGCAGTCTAGTTAGAAAAGAGTGTGGGATGTCCTACAGCCTATGCTTTGGTAACACCTTTTTGTTTCTCCTCTCTGTCCTTGTCTCCCCCCTGCCCTCACCCTGCCTCAGGAGCTAGAAGTCATCTTGGAGCGGCGCGGGGTCGTGGATGGCCTTGACTGACGGCGGCTGGTGCCTGCCGAAGCGCTTTGGGGCGACGGCTGTAGACGCCAGCGATTCCCGGGCCTTTCCAGCGCGGGAGCCCTCCACGCCGCCGTCCCCCATCTCCTCCTCTTCCTCCTCCTGCTGCTCCCGGGGTGGGGAGCGCGGCCCCGGCGGCGCCAGCAACTGCAGGACGCCGCAGCTCGACACGGAGGCGGCGGCGGCGGGACCCCCGACCCGCTCGCTTCTGCTCAGCCCCTACGCCTCGCATCCCTTCGGGCCCCCCCACGGACCTTCGGCGCCGGGGGTCGCTGGCCCTGGGAGCGCCCTGTCGAGTTGGGAGGACCTGCTGCTCTTCACTGACCTCGACCAGGCCGCGACCGCCAGCAAACTGCTGTGGTCCAGCCGCGGCGCCAAGCTGAGCCCCTTCGCACCCGAGCAGCCGGAGGAGATGTACCAGACCCTCGCCGCTCTCTCCAGCCAGGGGCCGGCCGCTTACGACGGCGCGCCCAGCGGCTTCGTACACTCGGCGGCCGCCGCTGCAGCAGCCGCGGCCGCGGCCAGCTCCCCGGTCTATGTGCCCACCACCCGCGTGGGCTCCATGCTGCCCGGCCTGCCGTACCTGCAGGGAGCGGGCAGTGGACCCGCCAACCACGCGGGCGGCGCGGGCGCGCATCCTGGCTGGCCGCAGGCCTCGACCGACAGCCCCCCATATGGCAGCGGAGGCGGCGCAGCAGGCGGCGGGGCCGCGGGGCCTGGCAGCGCTGGCTCGGCCGCGGCGCACGTCTCGGCGCGCTTTCCCTACTCGCCTAGCCCGCCCATGGCCAACGGCGCGGCGCGGGAGCCTGGGGGCTACGCGGCGGCTGGTGGCGGTGGTGCGGGCGGCGTGAGCGGAGCTGGGGGCAGCAGCCTGGCGGCCATGGGTGGCCGCGAGCACCAGTACAGCTCGCTGTCCGCCGCGCGGCCGCTGAACGGGACGTATCACCACCATCACCACCACCACCCCAGCCCCTACTCACCCTACGTGGGTGCACCGCTGACGCCCGCCTGGCCTGCCGGACCCTTTGAGACCCCGGTGCTACACAGCTTGCAGAGCCGTGCCGGAGCTCCGCTCCCGGTGCCGCGGGGCCCCAGTGCAGGTAAGGGCGACGCCTCAGCTTTAGGGAGGGCCCCGCAACGTTGGGGCTCCAGAGATTTGTGGAGCGGCTACTTGGGCCTAGTTTTTAGAGCTTTCCTGTCTGAGTGACCAGTGGTCATCCTGACTCCGGGCAGGATTTGCAGACTTGTGGCAGAGAGACAGTCTGGTGGGCTTGCTGAGGTGCTGCTTCTGCTTCTACAAATGAGACCTAGTTCATGCATGCATGCGTGTATGACGGTACAAGCATACTCAGTGTCTTGGAGAATTTTGAGAAAATTGCTGAATGGTGGCTAAGCAGGGCACTCAGAAAATATAAATGGGGAGGGAAAAGGGGGGACCTGACAGGGAGGGAGCCTCAGGGGCAGACCCTAGTTTGCTTGAGTGGAAAAGCAAGAGGTAAGTTTGGGAGAATGTTGGGCACTAATTTACCCTTTACTCAAATATACAGGCCATCTCGCTCAGCTTATCTCTTCAAAGTGAAGAATTGCGTGTTTTCCTTGAGTGTAATTAAAAGGGTTTCACAGTGGGAAAGGACTCAAGGGTCTAGTTGGCCACCACCCATCTCTTTAGCCAGAGAGGGGAAGGAGCTGCCCCCCTGGACTGTTCAGCCTGCTGACTGTGGTGGAAAGCGGATGGACAGACCCTTCCTCTAGGCCTTCGCTGGAGAGGGGGCTGGCCTTTCTGCCCCCACCCTCCCCTGCTGGGCTGGTACTCAGGGTTTCTAGGGCTCCCACACCTCTTCCTCCAGTTTTCAGCCCACCAATTTTTGGGTTTCTAGTTCTATTCATACTATCATTCTAGTGTCTGAGGCAGTTTAGATAGAACTTAGAAAACAAAATTGTCTACATACCTGGAAATACCTCATCCTGAAAAATGTCTTGTTCTGCTCAACTAAAGGAGGGTATGGATTGTGTTGTCTGCCTGGAGAAAGGCACTTTGGCTTCTTTTCTCAGCTGCAGCGTTCTGGCTCCTTGGTAGTTTCATCAGTCTCTTTTAACATGTTTGATAACCTGACAGATTCATGGAAAAGGTTTATTTTTCTCTCCTTTCTTTTCTGTTTGTGGAGAAACTGGCAAAGTAGCAAAGAGGAGGCACATTGGTCTAAATCATGCTAGCTGGTGCTCCTGTATCCCGGCACCTTTCCTGGGACAGCAAGTGTTTTAGGGGCACTTACTGGCTAGGATAAATGAAGCGTTGCCAACCTTGTGTTCAGAAAACCTTGTGGAAATATGAGTGGCTGAAAGTGAAGGATTTGATTTGAATAGTTCTCTCTTAGTGACTTTGGGAAGGGAGCAAGAGGTGTTTCTTTTTTCTTTTTTTCTTTTTGTTGGGGGCCTTTCTTACTCTACTGTCTCTAAGATTTTGGCCACAAAATTCCATCTCTCCCCTGCCAAGCTGCCCTGAGACCTTCCTTTACTGTCAGTGTGAAGTGTGGGGGTGGGGTCCTTCTGCCACTTGAGAAAGCAGCATTGCCACCTTTCCTGCTGCATAGGGACCTCTGTCTGGCTCCCAGGAGCAGAGATAGAGGAATGAGGGATCTTCAAAGCTTGGCCAGGTGGTGGTTAGGGTGTGATGCTTTTGCAGTCAGGAGTCCTGCAGGGTGCCCGAAAGGTGTATGAGTCGGATAGGGGCAACAGCAGCTGGAAAACCCTGCTGCTCTGACTGTTGGATACAGCTTGACTTGAGCTCTGTATTCCTTAAATACGAGACAGAAGTGGTCCACATACATCATGGGAAACTTTAGATGTTCTGTTACTTTAAGAGCAGTAGGATGCAATTACAGATAAGATATAAATTTATTTTTATTTTATCCTTTCACTAATTTCATTTTCGGGGTAGGACACTGCAAAGTGAGAAAAATCTGTGTATCCAGACTGTTAAATTTCAATGGGGATGGTTTTGAAAAAAGGCTTTTACTTTAAGAGGTATGGGGGAGGTGAGTGACCCTAACTTTGCTTGTCCTCAAAGGTGTTATGCTAGAAACCTCCACTCCAAGTCCCTTCTTCCCAGATTTCCTACATAGCGTCACCACTTTACACTTTGATTTTCTTTTTTAAAAACCTTTTTTTGGAGGCACCTTTTTGTTTCAGCAAAGTGCAGGGCTAAAACTGAACACAGCTTTTTTTCAACATGCAGTATGTGGGCCTTTGGGAATTCCATATACCTCTCCCTTATTTTGGTGGGGCTGAAGGTGAAAGTAATCCTCACAGCCCTCAGTCTTGGGTCCAGTGCCCTCCTAAGCTTCTGCTGAACCATGTTCATTGTCTGAGCCCTGGGATACAGTCACTAGCTATGTCCTTCTCTCCTGAGTCAATGCATTTCGGAGAAAGATGATGGGTGTGTGTGTGTGTGTGTGTGTGTGTGTGTGTGTGTGTGGTGGGGGGCTGGGGGGAGGGACGACTGGTGAATGAACTTTCAGCACAGTCAGATTTTGTAAGTTTTATTAAAAATGGCATTTTTGTTATTTTTGGATTGTAGTTTGCTGGATGAATGGTAGGGAGAAGTATAGGGAGGGAATGGGGGCTGTGGGTTTTATTCCACTAAAAATAAACTAATTGTAAATTTCACTTATCCAAAGTGGACTTAGTTTTGTCTTTAGGTTTTCAGGTGACCAAAGAGATTGACCTGGAGCATTCGCACTCTCTTCCCCTGGGAGTCTTATTGTTCCTAGCCAAAGGGAAGGAGGCCAGGCGTGGGCTTGGTTCTCCAGGGAATGCCCCTCTCCTCTGTGGAGAAGGGGCTCTGATAGGTAACATTTTAAAGTCAACAACAAAGACAAATACCTTGTTTAACTTCAGTGTCCTTGAAGTCCCGAGTATTTTACTGATTACCGTAGTCAATAGTGGCTTTTAGGGCAGAGAAGAATAAATCTTTGTGATGTGTTGTAAGTTGCAGTATCCCCATGACAACTTTGAACTCAACTTATTATGTAGGATGCCAGTTTCTTTTAAACTTATTTCTCGAGGAGGAAGGAGACTTGTTTTCTGGGCAAATAACATTAATGAAGTTAGAGTTCTTATGACAAAATCACATTTAAACACCTTTACAACAGTTGATGGTAGAAACAAGCTGTAAACTGCTAAGGAATGAGATGGGTTAGAAAAGGCTCATTAGCACACACCATCTTCAAATAAAACTCTAAAGTGGAATGTTTATTCACTTTAAAAATTGCATCAGAAATGATCCTTAAAGCATTAGAACACTCATGCCCCTAAAAGATAATGAAACAAATTGAAATTAATATACTAGAAATGCTCACTAAAGTAATGTGCCTATCACTTTAGAGAATATTTATTCATAATTGAAGACACTTAAGATTGACTTAGCATAGTTAGGTTAGTTGTGACATCCAGAAAATGGCAATGTTAAATAACCATTGACACTTAAAAGATTTTTTTGTTAGCATAGTTAGATTAGTTGTGAACTCTAAAAACTAATAAATAGCAAAGTGACAAACAAAAACTGAGACTGCATAAATAGAAATTGTGTTGGAAAATATGAAACAGTTTTATCCAGACTGTCACTGTCTAGTAATTTTCTAAATCGAAGTATCAAAAGTCGAGGATTTTGCATGATAGAAGCAATTACACTTTGAAATCAGAATATTTTAGTCTTTGGTCCTTGGGTGTAAAAATGAGCTGTTTTATTTCCATGCTTATTAATGTTAATGTGTTTTATTTTCCCGAGGAGAAAATTGATATAAGTGCCCAAGAACAGTATTTCTGGTTTCCCTTGTGAGTTTTATTGGGGCAAAAAAAAACGTGTCAGATATAGAAAGTACTTTTTAAGATTACTTGAGATAAAAATAAATAAGGCAAATATTCCTCTGTCCTGGGATATTTGCGGGTTGTTCAGCGGGTCAGTATCAGTGTTGATAATGTGTGTCTTGAGTTTGGCAAGTGCCACACTGTAATTATGATGGATTTCAGCTTTGAAAAGTTTGGGAACAGCAGGAAAGGAGGGGTCAGGGGACCCAAACCGTCCTCCCCACAGCCCATCTCAACTCAGGTCCTTGGAGACAGAAGCTAATGATTTTCAGCTTCAGCTTCGGCACTGTTCCGACTTTGTGGGTGTTGTAAGGGTGCAGAAGAACTTGACAAATATGTCCTGGGTAGATTGATAGCGACGACATGGACAGCCGGTTTCTGGCTGGTAGCTGAGCAGAGAGAACGGTCTGGACGGGCTTGGGCGGGGAAGTTGGGCATCGCGGCGCAGCCCGGGGACTGGAAGCCCAGTGGGTCTTCGGGGGAGCCTGCGGCGCTGGCCAGACGGTCGCGGCCTCCTCACTCGTCCTCTTGTCCCCATTCTCACGCAGACCTGTTGGAAGACCTGCCCGAAAGTCGCGAGTGCGTGAACTGCGGCTCCATTCAGACGCCGCTATGGCGGCGAGACGGCACCGGCCACTACCTGTGCAACGCCTGCGGCCTCTACAGCAAGATGAACGGTCTGAGCCGGCCCCTCATCAAGCCTCAGAAGCGCGTGGTGAGTGCGAACGCCGCCCGCCCCTGCGGCCAGACTCCTGGCGGAGCTTCCCCGGCGAGACCCGCGGCGCTCCCGCCCGGCCCCGCCCGGCTCAGTCCTGGCTCGCTTGCGGGGAACCTTGCGGTGCAGCCCTGGGCAGTCTCGGTCTGAGTTGTAGCATTCATTTTGTGGCCAATGTAGCGTTCACCCGCCGGTGACCGAGTGGAGGATACCCCGAAATTACTGTCTCGGGAGTGCAGGCAGGCTTTCGCCATAATTACCCATTGGGAATAACGTCCTTCAATAAACAGGAGAGAGGGAAAGGATGGAGTACATTGTTACCTTTAAAAAACAAACAAAAAAAAAAAAACCCATACATAATCTATACATATATTTTGATGTACTTCTGAGTGCACGGACATAAATTTTTGGAAGAAGCACAGAAATTAGTAAGGGTGGTAATTTAGGGGAGAAAGTCGAGTATAGCCGCTGCCTGGTGAGGTAGGTGAAGGAAGAATATTTGTTATCCTGTATAAGATCTCAAGGATTCTTATCATTGAAAACCATACTCATTCATAGCTTCCACCCCCTTTAACAAACTCACTCCCTTTCTCCTCCCATACCATTCCTTTTATTTTGTCCCTTCTACCTCTGGGTCCCTTCTATTCCTTCTCCAAGGCAGATTTTCGCTCCAAATTCCTTGGTGTTTGGATTGTCCTTGAGTCTGGTGAAGATTGTTCACTCTGACGTTGAGTTATTTAGCTTCCGACTGTTTGGAAAACTATATGGGACTTGAAAGAAAATGTAGTCTGTAATTCTCAACTTGAGGATTTTTGCCAATTTGAACATTATGCTTTAAAGTGTGGAATTAATCTCATTGTCATTGTTATGGGTGTTTTAGAAGGAGGGTATTTACTGCAGTAGTGATTAGAGCAAATAAAGTTTTCTCCAGCCCCGTTGTAAGGTTTAGTCAAGCATTTATAATCTAATGGCTGTTAAAATATTTTATAGTTAGATGCCAGACATTTTGAGTATCTAAGTAATTTATTTAATTGTTATACTGTAATTAGCAGGAACAAATGCTACACATGTTGTTTGTGTTAAATAGATTAGAGCGAAATTGCATCACAATGTAAGTCTGACACCTTAAAGAGAAGCAATTAGTTTTATGGTTGTTTTGTTTTTAATGCATTTAAAATAAAGTGGTCAGGGTTAATTAATGAGTGTATGTGCCTTCAACTTGTCATACCTCCTACAGCTTAAAATTTTCTTCAAAGGGCATCTTTAAACTAGTGTTTGACTTCCTTATGGTTTTCATTTTTCTTACGTGCATCTTTTTGACAAAGTAGTGGTAAGAAAATATTTCCAGGAAGTTCCTTGTTTTTATGTATTAGCCAGTGCTAATAGAACTGAGGAATAAAGCTGGTTTTTTCCTTGTGTTAATATTAAGTTGAACTGAGAATTAGCTGAGCTCAGACAGGTGACATTTTCTCTGACGTTGAGTGAAAAACCACAGGTTCCAGTTGTGCTATGAATTCCATATAGTATCATCTGTATTTAAAGATGTCATTTGCTCTGTTCATTTACCAGTATAAATAACCAGAAGAAAGGTTTTAACATCTTTGACTCAGTTAGCTTTCCTCCTGTATGGCAGGTGTCTTGGCAGTAACCAAGGTCAGTCAATGTGCTTTGTAAATGGGCTATAAATGATACCAATTGAAGGGTGTGTCTATCAATTAGTTCTCCTTGTAGGCTTCTTATTTATGGTTTTGATGGATCTAGCTTGGTTCTCAGAAGGAGAATGTTGAACCCATGTTTGTTTAGCCAGCAGTATAGAACCAATCACTATGGATTTGAACTTATAATACATTGCAAAATAAGAGATTTATGGTGTAACTTGAATTCCTTGTCAGTGATGAATATAACTGAGATCACTTGTTACAAGGAACTTTTATAACCATTCACCTTCATTTCACATGTTTATGAGCGCTGGCTTCACTTATGATCTGCAGTTGACAGTCATAAAGTTCTTTGTAATAATGGCAAATTCTGATAACACGTTTGCTTCACATTGGCTCCAAATTCCACTGGAAACTGTCATAAATGACCTATTTATAAAATGAACCTTCCTGTCCCTGGTTTACTGATTTCACATTTTTGAAGAAAAAGAGGTGATCTCATATTTTCTTTAAACATAAAAAGGGGAGGGGGGAAGAAACTCTGATGTGTTAAGATTTTATATTTTTATTATTTCAGCAAAATAATTTCCCAATGGCCTGTCAGCCAGGCATATTCATTTTCGCTAAAAATCTAATAGACTCAGTACTAACTTAGAATGTGTTTTTGATGTGCCGGTTTCTGTAACTTGTCTGTAAAAGAATAAAAGTATAATGTAGCAAGCAAAATACTGCAAGATGCATCATTCAGTTTTATCTTCTTAAATCTGTGTCTACTTAATCCATGTTCAATTTATCTTTTTGTTGTTAGTTCTTCACATCTTTTTAAATTTATTGGTGTAGCTAACTTTTCCAACTCTGTAACCTTTAACTTGCTTCAGACTGTAGATTACCCCCCCAACTCTCTTTTTTTACTGACCCTCGTAGCACATTTAATTACCTCATTGCCTATCTAGGAGATGTAAGAAAACCTTAGATTTTGTCATTCTGAAAAGGATTTATATTACTTTAAATCCTCTCTTTAAAAATAACTTCTACATAATTTTGAGGAACTTATTAAGGATAAATAATTAAGGGTGTTGTGGGTATAAAGAAAACATGGGAATTGGAGTAACAATTGGCCTTTTCTGATAATGCTATTTAACCCTTGTATGAAGTAAAGTTTTATGTTATGCAGACTGGGAAATGAAATAGATGATCACTGTTTATAACAATGCCAGCATTAAAACAACACTGAATGTTGCCGATCTTTTGCAACATGGACAGCACTAAAATTCAGGCAGCATGTGATAGTGATACTTATGGAATGTATTAAAATATATTTTTTATTTTAGCAAAAATCCCAAGATTTATTTCTATTAACATGTAAAGGTCCTTCTAAGATTTCTGGTGTATTCTTCTATGCATATTTTGAGATTATTTTCTGATTATTTCCAGTTTAAGTGAAGTGGAGACTGCCCAAAGCCACTTAAGTACATTGGCAGTCCATTTATGATTGCATTTCATGTGTCTGAAACCTCAGACTTCTGACAACAGCGAGTGGACTTACTGGCTAACATTGAGACTTTGCGGGCTATTCCGCCTATAATCTGTAATAGACTGGGGCAAGCAAACAGGTGTCGCAGTGTCCAAAATGAAGTTACTTGGTCCAGGAATTACACTTTAGATTTTTTTCTTTGATTTATAGTAATAACCAGGTACAAACATGGTGACTACAGGGACATAACGGTGATGTATGTAGCATATAAGTCATCTGTATCTGTACACTTGCTTTCTAGCCTTCTTCCCGGCGGCTTGGATTGTCCTGTGCCAACTGTCACACCACAACCACCACTTTGTGGCGCAGGAACGCTGAGGGCGAGCCAGTGTGCAACGCTTGTGGCCTCTACATGAAACTCCACGGGGTGCGTGACATAGTCCTCGCATTTCTATCTCGCTTGTGCAAGGTTTCTGTTTCAAAGAGTCAACAAAGGAGAGGGACTAGAAATTAAAAATCAGATTTTCTTCGTTATGGAACATAGGGTGCTCTGAATTATAATAGAGACTGTGATCACATTCCCCAGTAACAAATAGTGCTTTCAGTTTAAGAAACTGTCACACACATCCGTTATAAGACATTCCAGTTTAAAAAGTATTAATATGTAGGAAAATGTTTTGATAACACAAAGAGAACCCCTTTTTAAAAACTGTACAGAAATTCCATGGAAGTAAGTAGGACAACACAAATAATTTGTCTTAAATGTGAATGCAATCAAATAGATTAATATGTGTCTAGAAAGGAATAACTATGCTTGACAGTTACAGCTAAAGAACCTCTATTTCACTTTAAGAATATCACAAAATAATCACCTCAGTTTTATAAAGGAACATAATCTTGAATATGTAGAAGGAAGAGAATATACAGTCCCTTTAAAATAAAAGAACTTACTTATTGGCTTTACTCTATAATTAAAGTTGATTAAAACAACACATTATGTTAATGGAATGAGTTCTCCCTGGCAAATCACTCCATTTGGGGGGAGGTATCTGTGTTTGATCAGGAACATGTAGTCTTTATTTGCGTACTTAAGTTATTGGATGTATATAAAAATTGGATTGAAGTGTATGCCAAATTATTTGAAAGGAGGGCTTTGGTAATGGTGACTGGATCTTAAGTAAGATTTGTTCTTTCTTTAATAAATTATTTATTATAATTATAGCCTATGAAACATATTTTTTAGGTGCCTCGACCTCTTGCAATGAAAAAGGAGGGAATTCAAACCAGGAAACGAAAACCTAAGAACATAAATAAGTCAAAGGCTTGCTCTGGTAAGTGGTAAAGTCTTTTTGATTTTGACAACTTTGACTGTAGAGTATATATATACTTATGAGGTTAATTTTGAATGTTGCAGGTAATAGCAATAATTCTGTTCCCATGACTCCAACTTCCACCTCTTCTAATTCAGATGATTGCAGCAAAAATACTTCCCCTACAACACAACCTACAGCCTCAGGGGTAAGTGTTAAAGTAGCAGATTCTAAGCTCTAGAGTATTGCACTCTGCTATATTATCTCAAATTTTATCTTATCTGGTAGTGCAATAATCTAAACCAACAGTTCAGTTTAGTTAGCTGATACCTAAGAATAGTTTTTGGAGGGAATTACATTTAAATATAAACAAAATGACAAACTTAAGTACTTTACAAACCTCTTAAGATAATCATTTTTATGGTTAAATTAATCCATGTGAAAACAAATTTTGAGCCTTGAAATGTATATAAAATACATACCTATATATATTTCGTATATATATTTACATTTCTAATGTAAATCAGAAAAGCTCCCAGGTCAGCGGTTTCATATATCTGGGTGCCCATGACATTTAAGTTACTTTTGCTTACCACACCAACTTCAACCTCTTTTCTTTTGTCTTCTTTTCTTATTCTTTTTCCCAAAGCAAGGCACATAGTAAGGATCAGGTGTTATTGTATTCACTGACCTTCACGCAGCTGTCCTGTTGCCAGGTGGCCTCACTTCTTTAAGTGCATGTTAATTGTGGCCAGGTTTATTTCAGCCTTGTGATAAACCTCAGCAATTTGGTTTGGGTCATTTCAAGCCCCTGGACATGGGATGTCAGGGTATTGGTGAAGATCACAAAATTAGTCTGTAAAGCCACAAGTGAGAATTGGTTTTCCTTAAGAGCATTTTTCATAACTTTAATGCTTTCTTGGTTTATCTGGAATGCTCTTTTAAAAATGACCAGGCAGTGCCTCCCTGGTGGCACAGCAGGTTAAAGCACAGCACTAAGAAGCTGAAGCCACTCCAGCATGAGTTTGATCCTCACCCTGGAGGTGACCCACATGGCATGTCAGACCTCTCCTGACCTGCCCACTGCTCTCCTCAGCAGTGTACTTGGTCCATCTGCCTGTTCTGCCCCCCACTCTGTCTCTGGTGAATCCTCTCACCATCCCTGCCCTCTGGCCTGTACCCCAGTTCTGTATGCATACATAAATCTTTAAAATGACCACGCCTCACCCTCTAAGTGAGATGCAGGGTGGGGCCTAGGCATGCTTGATACTAAGACATGTTTAGGAGGATGTAGCAGGGTTAAAATCTCTTTTTAGTTAGTAATTGTTTTTTATTTGGTTTCACCCTATTTGGGGTACTTTAAAATACTACAGATTCCTGGGCCCCACCCTGGATTTTCTGAGTCAGTCTCTGGGGGTGGAGTTTGGAAATATGTGTTTTTGAACAAGTGCTGCAGGTGAAATAGAAATTACTGCCCTCAAGTTGTCTTCCTTGCTTTAGGAACCAGAATTGGTTTATTTCTGTTGTGCTTTTTATTTTTCACTGACCTAAACACGAATGTAACATTGAACTCTTTAATTGTATTTGATATTTCTTTTTGTCTTCCAACTCCATATTGGTTGGGTTTTTATTTAATGAAACAAGTTCATAGTTTACCAAGGGATAACATTTTTCAGTTTTTGTTTGTTGCAAACACTAGTTACAGAATGTTTCTTTACAGAGGGATATACTTATCACTGTAGGGTTAGATGAAACTTTAAGAATATGAAATAGTAACTAGAAAGTTGCTTGTGGATAAGGAAAAGATCAAAATTATTTTTATATGTATTATCATTATGCAGTAAATTCTCAGAAGCAATTTTATAGCCAGCTAAATGGTGCTTACTTAGGAAAACAATGTTCTGGTTGTCTAAAATGTTGGGAGCTGTAGGGTTTTTAGCTCCATTGTCTGGTGTCTGTCTCCCAGCTAAAATGAGGAGTGTTGCCAGCTACCAGTCCCCTTTGTTGCTAATACAGTTGGTTTAAGTGGGGCAGAATCCAAGTTTGAATGATAAATGACATCAAAATAGAGATATTTGCCCAAGAATGGGTTTTAGGAATGAGGAACTATAGTGGGTGAGGTCTGTTTTGCTCTTCTAGTTTTGTGATGTAAAATTTCAGAGTTGGCTATTTACAAGTCTAATCAGCTACCCCTCAGGAAAGGAACAGTAAAATGGCAGTGAATTAGCCCTGCTTTGCTTGATTGGATGAGGGACCTCTCCTGTAGCTGGTCCTTGATCGTTCTGGTATCCAAAATGTCTCTGTTATCTCTTTTGTGAGACCTAGCAAGCTGGAGGCTGTTCAGCAGCCAATACACTTCAGAGGAAATCTTAGTTCTCAGCCAGGAGGCAAAGCAACAAAGATATCAGAACCTGGGGGAGTTTGAGTGTAGTTCCACACAAGGCCTTTTGCTTTGAGCTCCCTTTCATCCTGTATTCAGGCAGCCTACCCGCAAGCCAGCTATGTGAACTGCAGACCTAGGGCAACTGTCATAGTCTAGGCATCCAGCCCCAGAAATGTTTCCTGACAACTTTCCCCAGGGCAGGGTGGGGCTTGCCCTCCCTCCTAACTCCCTTTTGGGACCCACTCCTGACCTTGGCTGGAGGCTCTGCTAGTGCTGATCTATTGTTTCCCCAACAGTGAGCCCATCACTAGTGTCTCCACCAGACCATCTAAATGCCTTTAGATTTAGTCCCTTTTTTTTTTTCTAATTTATTTGCGCATACAGAACTGGGGTACAGGCCAGAGGCTTAGGGACTGGTGAGAGACTTCACCAGAGACAGAGTGGGGAGCAAAACAGGCAGATCCATGAAGCACACTGCTGAGGGGAGCAGTGGGTGGGTCAGGAGAGGTCTGCCACGCCATGTGGTCACCTCCGGGGCAGGCGGGAATCAACTCATGCGGAAGTGGCTTTAGCTTCTCATGCAGTGCTTTAACCCGCTGTGCCACCAGGGAGGGCCAGATTTAGTCCCTTTTAAAAAAAAAAAAAAAAGCAAGCATTTATTTACTTGTGCATATATGTGCTGGGATGCAGGCCAGGTGTGCTGAGGGTGAGAGGACTCACCAGTGACCTAGTGGGAAGCAGAACAGATAGATCTACTGAAATACATTGTTGAGGGAGCAGCTGAGAACTGGAGAGGTGTGCTGCACCATGTGGGTAGTTCCCTGACTGCTGCAGTGGCTGTGAAAGCTTCTTAGTGCTGAGACTTAACCCCTTGAGCCACCAGGGCGGCCCTGGATTCTGTCCCTTTTAAGAATAGTGTAGCTGATCACCTCCAGCTCCATCCAGGTTGCCGCAGATAGTATATCTTTTTTGATTGCTGAGTAAAAATAATAATAATTTAAATACTGGTAACCTTCAAAAAACTAAAAGCAGAAAAGCAAATTTGAGTGGCTTCCCCAGGGTACAATTAAGGCCATTGTGAGCCCATTGGTCACTTAGTGCTTTTCAGTCTTCTCTGGATAGACTGAGCTTGTATGTGTGGCCAGCAGGACAGCTGTGTGTGAAGACCATGTTGAAGGAGTTATCTGTGAGCAGCTGGCAGAAGCACTTGTGAAAGGTATCTGTGTGGACCAAGATGTCTCGTGTTCCTATTTTGGTCATGGTATATGATGTTAGAGAGCAACTGTTTTTGGGTCTACTGCTTTATAGGGTTTTCTTCACCTAGAAGGTGAAATCCACATAGCAGGGTCATCTGGTGTTTAGAAAGTGAATGTGTTCCATTGCACCATGGTTGGGCTAAATGTTCCAACTTCCTGTTGTGATGATGGGTCCATCTCATTGGTCATTGATCGCCACTGACCTTTGCAACTGACATGGTGGAAATTACTTTTAGAAGATTATCCTTGTTTGATAATGGTAACCAAGTTAAAAAACAAAGGGCAGTTTAAGGCACACTCCTGTTATTGGAAGGCAGGAACTGGAGGCCACTTTCTTCCATTCAGAGATGGCAGTGGCAACCTAACTGCTTATCTGCCTTTCCTTCATGAGTGTGAGCTGCCATAGGAATAGAAAGCTGTGATATGGGCTGTGTCAAACTTGACATCATTTTAATGTGTCCCTTTGCTCTAGAAATCAACTGTAGGAGATCACCCATGGGCAGACTTCTTTCAAACCCTGATGTTCCAAACCCGCCCTTCATGTGGTCATGTTCTTGTGAGGGTTTCTGGTCTCCAGAGTGACCTGAGGAGAGCCCAGTGTGCTGTAGGGAGGCTTCTGATGTGTCTGATACCATAATTAGTGCTCCAGGGCTCCCTCCCCAGCAGGACTCAAGCTGCGGGCAGGATTCGCGGGCAGGATTCCTAGCACAGGGCTTTGGCTTTCAACAATTTTCCAGGACAAGCATCAAAGTGCCATGAAAGTCATTTCTGTGATGGCTGTAGCCTGATTTCTTTGGCTTATTTTCATGTCTTAACTTTATGTACTTGGTTGCTAATTCATTTTCCCTAGACCTCTTCATAAAAAGGAAGCTTTCCATTTGATGGTGAATTTATTTGTCTTCATTTCGTTGGACATGGGTGGTGTGTTCGTATGAGGTAGAGGGAAGGCAGTTTGTTTCCTGTATGAGATCAGGAAAATCTGCTACCATGCCCCCCAGTATTAAAATAGCCTGCCACATGCCCTTGGGAATTCTTCATGCTTATTAAGAAATGTGTGAAATTTTTGATAAACTGATTAATTTTTGTGACTTTTTTACTTGGTGGTAAACCTAACCAAAATAGTCTTTCATTCTGACTAAATTTTCTTATAAATGTAGATTTACTGAAAAATGTGCATTTAGTTGAACAAAATAGGCATTAGATTTTCTCTGGTCTTTACATCCTATGGATTTTAAGAAAAATCTATTGAATTTCATTTGTTGACTGAATTGTTTTATAGATTTGTTATTGTTATTCAGGAGGGAAATGTGGTAACATGTTCTGTTTTAGCAATTCTCAAATGAGATTTAATAAGTGATCTTTAAATCTCAATCTCTAAAAATTTTTGAATTAGATACTTTGTATCATAATACACATGTATATATTAGATGTTATGTATAAATATAGGTACAAATTTCCCAAATTTGTCGGTAAAGAACTATTTCTTTTAATTTCTTTTGAGATGGGAAAAATTAACTTGAGAATGAAATTATTAAGCACATTATTATTGAGTATTAGGTGATAAGATAA